TCATATATCTTCATCTTGGTAAAGACTCAGCAATTCAGCAATTGTGGTGGGAGAAAAATGAGTACATTCAGATATATTGGATTTGGGGAACAAAACATGAGGCCACAGTCAAAGATAAAACAGAAGTAGGAAGCTTGTGGGCTTGGGTTTGTAGATATTCAACTGACCTGTAGGGAGATTGCAATTATGGAACAATAATTTTCAAAAGAAAGAATTCAATTCGCTTAGTTTGGGAAAACACTGAGTTTCAGGAAACATGTAGATATGTAGTTAGGGACAGAAGATAATTCATTTTAACATGTACCAGGAGGACTGGATTGAAATCAGAGGAGAGGGTATATTTGGGTATCATCAGCATATAGGTGGAACAGATATCCAAAGAAATAAGGCTGTCAAGACAGGCAACATACAGATGGACAAGATCTGAGTCTTGAGTTGCTGTGACTGAACAGATATTTGTGAGGGGGTGTTATCAGAAAATGCTGTGGGAATGTTTGTAGATATAAGATGAGAATCAGGAAAGGACAATGTCATGAAGGCCAAAGGTGTAAAAGATCTGAAAAATGAGCACATGGCTGACCGCAACAAAGAGGGTAATTTGCCTTTGGGTTTAGCTGTAAATAGGTCATCATTACTTTCGTTAGGGCTGTTTTATTGGACTGCTGCATGCAGAAGTGAGATTGCAGATGATGAAAGAGAACATAAGACTTGTGAAAGTTGATCAGGTAGGTGTAGGCAGTGGTGTATCCTGGTTTTGTGCTGCCCTAGGCAGGACAAAACGCAGGCGCCCCCCCCCCCGTGCCAACCCCCCCCCGCCTTCTAAATACACACACACACATTCAATGACAGATACGCATACACTCGCTAACAGAAACACACACACTAACAGACACACTCACACTCACTAACAGACACACACTCACTAACACACACACTCACAGGCAAACACACTCACACAGTCAGACACACACACACTCACTGACACACTAACAGACAAACATAGTCAGACACACACACTAACAGACACACTCACTCACTAGCAGACACACACACACTAACAAACACACACACATTAACAGACACACGCTCACTGACACACACACTCACAGGCAAACACACACTCACTGACACACACACACAGGCAAACACACACTCACTGACACACAGTCAGACACACACACATACACACTAACAGACACAGTCAGACACACACACACTAACAAAACACACACACATTAACAGACACACACTCACTCACATTAACACATTTTTTTATTTATTTTTATTTAGCCCCCCCCCCTTACCTTTGGGAGTGCTGCGGGGGAGGGGTTCATTACCTCCCTGGTGGTCCAGTGGATGCCGGCTGGGCTAGGCAGGCGGCTGGCGAGGGAGCTCTTCCCCTGAGCGGTCCGCTCAGCTCCCTCGCGCGCCGCAAAGTGAGGCTGGGAGCCGGAAGATGACGTCATATTCCGGCTCCCAGCCTCACTCTGCGGCGCGCGAGGGAGCTGAGCGGATAGCTCAGGGGAAGAGCTCCCTCGCCAGCCGCCTGCCCAGCGCCGCCCGCCAGCCCAGCCAGTCAGTTAGCCGCGAGGCTAACAAAGCATTTGCCTGGGCATTTGGGGGGCGGCGTTTTTTGCCGCCCCCTGAAAAATGCCGCCCAAGGCAAATGCCTTGTTTGCCTCGCTGCTAAAACGCCCCTGGGTGTAGGCAAGATGGTTATGGAACTTTGAGGCAAAAGGCAGTAGGGAAATGAGATGCTAATTAAAAGGAGAATTTGGGGTCAAGACATTTTTTCTTTTAAGAAAAGAGTTACAATTGTATGTTAAAGAGAAGTGGGAAAGACATTAGAATAGATTGAGACATTGTAAATGAGAGGATGGATTAAGGCAAGGGAAAGAGAAGAGATTTGGAGCAAGGAAATGAGATGTAGGAGCCAGGAGGTGGGCTATGAGAATAGGAGAAGAGTAGACACCTCTTGCTTAGTGACCCTGGAGAATAAACATAGTGTCACGGTGCCCCCCATGCTGTGCTCCTATCTGAGCACAGTCTGGGACCAGACTGGTGCATCTTGTTGCAGCGCGTTCCCATGAAGACATCTGAATGCCACGTGTCTCCTTTTACCCAAGCAGAGAATGGGTCTGAAAGTATTAGAGACGCTGGCTGCTCTGTGTCAGAGCACTTTAAGACTTCTGAAGTCCCTCTAGATTCTGATGCTAGATGTCACGTGACATCTATGAGACAATCAGAGCCCTCCTTCAGTTATTTAAACTCAAAATTGCCAGTTTTCATTTTGGTTATCAAAGAATGCATTATTACTATTGATTCTTGTGTACAGGTCAGTAAATATTTGGACACTTACTCAATTTTCATAATTTTGACTCAGTATACCACTATAATGGATTTGAAAAAAACAAAACAACTTGATGCAATTAAAGTGCAAACTTTCAACTTAATTCAAGCGGCTGAACAGAAATATTGTACGAAACGTTTAGTGATTGCAACCATTTTCATATACAGTCTCCTTATTTCAGGTGCACGAATATAATTAGACAAATTAAGACAATCATACATTTTTTTTTAAAATGTTGACTACTTTGTTGAGAATCCTTGGCAGGCAATAACTGCTTGAAGTCTGAAATGCATGGACACCACCAAATGGTGGGTTTCCTTCTTTGTGATGCTTTGCCAGGCCTTTACTGCAGCTGTCTTTAATTGTTGTTTGTTGGTTGGTCTTTCTGCCTTACATTTTGATTTCAGCAAGTAACTTGCATGCTCGATTGGATTAAGGTCGGGTGATGCCAGGTGATGTTGTGGTCAGGACTCGTCCACTGCAGAATATTCCACTTCTTTGCCTTAAAATTCTTCTGATTTGCCTTTGCAGTATGTTTTGGGTCATTGCCCATCTGTAACCTAAAGCACCGTCTACTTCAGAATTCATCCAGCTGCTTTTGTCTTCTGTCACATCTTTAATAAACACTAGTGGTCACAGTGCCATTGGAAGCCATGCATGCCCATGAAATCACACTGTCTTCACTGTGCTATGCTTGGGATCATGAGGTGTTCAAAGCCTTCTCATACTTTTTCATCTCATCATTCAGATACAGGTTAAACTTAGTTTCATCTGTCCAAAGAATTCTGTTCCAGGGCTGGGTCTTTTTAGATGTTTTTTGGCAAAGCCTAATCTGGCCTTGCTATTTTTGAGGCTTGTTTTGCTCTTGGGAAGTCTACTCTTTATGATTCACTTGGGTAATGGTATGCCTTCTCCTGGAGAGTGTTCTTCATATAGCTGGATCTTGTGAAGGGGTTTTTCTTTGACATTGAAAGGATTCTGTGATCATCCACCATAGAATGTGCCATACTATTGTCTTTATTTTTTATTAAATTATTTTTAATTTATTTGAGCTCCCTTGATGACATGATGTGGGTTCCCAGCAACAACATCCACATGCAAATGCCACACCTTTAATCAACTCCAGATCTTTTACCTGCTTAATTGATGAAGAAATAAAGAAGGAATAGTATACGCTACCTAATTTGCTGGTGCTATATAAATAATAAAATAATAATAATAATACACCTGACCATGAAACAGCTTTTGAGTCAATTACCCAATTAATTTTAGTCCCTTAAAAAAGTGAGTGCTTCATATTATAGAAGTGTAATTCCTAAACTCTCAAATTAAAGTGGAGAGGCTGCACTTTAAGCACCTTAAGCCCATATCCCTTTTTAACTGTAACTTGAATTTATCTTGGTAAACAGCCAAAATAATACATATTGTGTCAGTGTCCAGATACATAAGGACCTTACTGTATATTGACCTTGTTTTGTTCATTGACTGTTCTGACTTCTGTAGCCCTTGAGTTTTGCCTTGTCTACCGTTTACGTACATTCTCTTTCCCTGACCTCTGACAAAATATAGATGGTGATCTTAGAGAGGAATTTCAGTGTAAGAGGTGAAGCTTACATTGGAAAAGATAAACGTTGAGTAATGTCAGATATGCATTATGTACATTTAGCCCCTTAAGGACGGCGGGCGTGCTACGTCTCCGCCGTCCTTTGTCCTTACCATTGTGGTGTGGGGACTCATCTGGCAGCCCAGGGAGTCCCCCTCCATCCGTGTCAGCCCCTCTGGGCCATGTGATCACGAGGTCCTTGCGAGGACCTCACGATCACATGGACGGCATAGCCGTCCAAGGCAGTGCCAGCAGAGGGAGTGCCTGTAATGACAGGTACTCCCCCTGCTGCCTAAAAAAAAATAAAAAAATGTTAAAACAGTGTAAAATTAAATTATGTATACTTCGATCATTTATATATATACGATCTAAGTATATATATATATATATATATATATATATATACACATACACATAAATACACATACACTGTCTAAGTGTATTTTAATATTTATATATATATATATATATATATATATATTATCAAAATACGCGTAGAATGATATTGATTAAATATATATAATTATCATTATATATATATATATTTATATATAATATAAAATAAATAAATATGTAAATATGTTAAATAAAATAAAAAATACAAAATAAATAAAAACTATATATATGTGTAAATTCATTCTAACTGTATTTTAAAATTAATATATATGTAGAACGAAATATATATATCTATATACATAAGTATATATGTATATATCACTATATATATATACCTATATATAAATAAAAATAATAAAAGCATTTATATACATTTATATATATACACACACACACACACACACACATATATATATATATATATATATATATATATATATATATATATATATAAAAAAAAAATCATCATAAATTTGTGGCATAAGTAATTTGCACGCTGGAATAAATTTATCACTTATTTAAAAGACCTGTGAGTGCACCTTATATATATATTTTTTATATATATATTTATATATATATATAAAGATAAGAATCCACGATGCACTCACAGGACTTGGTGAAACAATATACTCTAAATTATTTAAATTATGTGCATAACGCAAAACCGACTAACCAACGTTTCGACCCCTGCGGGTCTTTTTCAAGGTTACCCGCAGAGGTCGAAACGTTGGTTAGTCGGTTTTGCGTAATGCACATAATTTAAATAAATGAGAGTATATTGTTTCACCAAGTCCTGTGAGTGCATCGTGGATTCTTATCTTTTTACATATTGGACGCATCACAGATTGCACCCAGGCGGATATATTAGAACACGGAGGAGGAGAGTGCCAAACTACCTACTTTTATATATATATATATATATATATATATATTATAATTCTACATAATTAGGTCATTTTATTAATTACAATTTGTGGGACCTGCCTGACAACCTAGGCCAAAAGTCCAGGGAATTGAATTTGCCAGCACTATATTTAACCCTGTAACTTTCTAAGACACCATAAAACCTGTACATGGGGGGTACCCATTTTACTCTGAAGACTTCGCTGAACACAAATATTAGTGTTTTAAAACAGTAAAATTTATTTTACTGTATTTTACTGTATTTTAGGTAAATGTGAAATGGAATGGGTTTTTAATCTGAAAACACTAATTCCTAATGGTTTAAGCGCTGATTTTGATTTATTCAATTTTATTTAATAATTTTATATACTATTTTATTTGTTTTATACCATTCATCCACATACCAATCATTTTAACTATTATTATTATCAGGTTTTTAGAATGCTTTTTATTATGGTACTATATGTTTAATTTTAAATGCATCAGTAGTTCCTAAGTTTTATATTTTATTAGGGTGCTTATATACACCACTAGTAATATGGCCACTTATCATGTTAATTCTTTGGAGTACATTCCCCATCCAAGATGGCCACCGCCATCATTTTTGCCTCTAGCCCCTTTCCTGTGCGTCCCCTGGCCACTCCCCTTTCCCCTTAGCCCAATACAGGGCTTTATTCACTCTTAATACATCTAGTCTACCTTATGACTACATGCCCCACAATACCGTGCGGCTGGAAGTGACGTCGCGCTTATGACGCGCGTCACATGGTCCGGCCGAAAATATGAAAATTCACAATAAATAACGCTTGTTTTTATACAAAAGTTATGTCACAAGCATCAGATAAGTTATATCTACCCAATTCGTATTATCAAATGCTGTTATGTATGTGCAAAAATTATCTGTTTTACTATTGGTTGTACAATTTTTGGCGCCAATTTTAATTATTTCTATACCTATATAAACTCTAACCAGCCAGGTTGAAATGTTTGTTATCCATTGATAAAGCCTTATACTGGCGAAACTGTTTTTATATACTGTTAATAAAAAAAGATTTCGGTCATTTTTTTACGTTTAAACCATCATCTTTTACTATCACCAGGCCTTTTATATATATATTTTATACTATATACTTTTTTTATTATTTTTATTTCCTGGGTATTATACTCCAAAGAATCCTAGGTGGGGATTATACCACCTATGCTGTTACATAGAGCAGTTAGCCTGCCCTATACACTGTGAGTATATTTTATTATTTTATTCATCACCAAGATTTTATTGAGAGCACTATCATTGTTTTATCTTCTCTCCGAGCTCCTGATATTCTCGTCAAGATCACTCATCCTATATCCTACAGCTTATACCGCTGCACGCCTAACAAACTAGAGCTAGCCGAAGCTCTACCGAATGTGAGTGTATCTATTATATTTTATACATTTTATTGCACGTGTGGAACATACTGCACCATTATTGTTTCCATTTTTATTTCCAACTTGGTCACCTGCCACTACATAGAAGAGGATACTTGCCGTATATCCCGCAAGCGGGGATAATACCGCTGTAAGCCATTCACACCACAGCTGGTTTAAGCTCTGTCAACTGTAAGTAAGAATTTGGATTATCCTTTACGTCATTGACATCTTCTGGATATCGCAAAAAGTAGAACTTTGGAGACAACAATACAGATCCTATTTGACTTAATATTATCATTTATTGTGTATATTGGCGCAGACCCATCCCCCCATTTTTTGCTTTTGTCTATTGATTTCCAGGGACATTAGAGGGAGTCCTTGTCCGGGACTGCTGCCTTCCTGATTAGCGCTGACTCTACTCCTTGTTTTGTTATTTTTACATTTACACACAAACAAATATTAACACTAACTTTGGCCACTGTTTGTGACCAAGTGGCTACTAAAAAAGACTGGACATACCCCATTTGCAATACCTTGGGTTGTCTACTTTTGCAAATGGTATGCCATCATGGGGGTAATTCTCATTCCTGGGCTACCATACCATACGGAACGTAACCAATCTGTCGAATTTCAATATGAAAAAATTTAACATGCTATATTTGACCCTGTAACTTCCCAAAACACCATAAAACCTGTACATAGGGGGTACTGTTTTACACGTGAGACATTGCTGAATACAAATATGTGTATTTTATTGTGCAGTAAAAGCGAACAATATTATGACATTCACAGTTAGAATGTCATGTAGAACTAAAAATGTTTTTAAAAATTCTTATTTTCTCCCATTTTTTTATATTATATTCATATTAAATTATGTTTGATACCTAAAAATTTGATGTTAAATGAAAGCTCTATTTCCCCTGAATAAAATGATATATAATAAGTGTGGGTGCACTTAATATGAAAGAGGCGAATTACGCCTGAACAGACATATAGTGAAAATTCCAGGTTTTGTTTATGTTTTGTTTTGATCACAACGTGTACATATGGCTCAGTCCGTAAGGGGTTAAACGAAATGGAGGCTCTTTATTTGTATTCTTGTTTATATATGATCTTTACATCATACAGCTATGTTACATTGCTACCAGCCACCCCATGTTTGTCTTATTAAGAGTTTATAAGTATGTAGGGGCAGCACCCCGTCCTGTCTCAAAAGAGAAATTTGCCTTCTAGTTGATACCAGCAAGGTGATTTGTATGTGCTCAAACACCCCTTCATGTCTCATTAGATCACGGTGCATATAGACAATGGCGAAATATATGCACAAAACAGACAAAATTGGCCAAGGCCCAATATTTCTATGAAAATCTGAACAGTAACATCTCAAACCCTAGAAACTTTTTGAAAGTCATAAATAAACTACAAACTCCCCTAATCCACTCCCAACCCTCCACTGTCAAAGTGGGTAACCAAACCCTGCAACTTCCCTTAGATGTAGCAAATGCCTTTAACAATTATTTTGTCGGATGCTCTACTGCCCTGATTGCCAAGCTAATAAATGACACGCATCCTGAAACTACAAATGTGGATCAGGCCCCACTAAATTTGCAAAGGCCCAATATAGATAAGTTTAATTTTAGACCTGTACCTGTTAGTGTCATTAAAAAACATCTTAATAATCTAAAAATGAAAAACCAGTCCGGACCTGATCAAATCCCAGCAATGCTGTTGAAGCTCAGTGTGCCGGCAATTGCTAAACCCGTCTCAACTCTAATTAACGAATCCTTGGTGTCTGGATACATACCCAAACTTTGGAAGACTGCAAGAGTAGTGCCTATCCATAAAAGTGGCGACACTACTTTGGTTTCTAACTATCGCCCAATATCATTGCTCCCGGTATTGTCAAAAATCTTAGTAAAATGTGTCCATACGCAACTTTGTGAGTACTACCAACAATTAAACTATCTGACCCCTGATCAATCGGGCTTTCGCCAGAATCACTCCACTACAACTGCCCTCCTAAAAGTTTGCAATGACATCCAAACTGGCATGGAACAAGGAGCCCTAACTGGAGCTATTTTCCTTGATTTTGCTAAGTGTAGCGTTACTTACCTTAACCGGGGGCCGGTCGCGGTCCTCTCTTCAAGCCGCGCGCGGTCCTGCGGCTGCACGAGCCGCGCGCGGCTCATCCGACTGCTTCAGATGGAAGGCGGGCAGTGACCGCGTGAAGCGGTCACGTGTCCCGCCTGAAACTAAGAGCGCGCCGCGAGTCTCGGGCGCGCTCTTAAAGAGACAGTGGGAGCCTAATTGCCAAAAGGCTCCCATTGGCTCCTGTCATACCACACTCCCTGTACAATTACCTATAGGGGGTGTGGAAGTGACAGGAGCCAATCACTTTCGTTTTAAAGCTATTTAAACTTACCTTTTTCCCTTAGCTCGTTGCCCTATCGTGGTTTCTGTTTCAGTTCCCTTTAGCGCTTGTGGTGTTCAGTTGTGTTTTCTCGTATTGACTTTGGCTTCGTATTCTGACTTCGTTTTCGCTTTATCCTTATCTGTACTGTTTGCCGGCTTGCTGTTTTCCGTGTACCAGACCCCGGCTTGTCCTAGTTTACGCTGTCTCTCTGTGCCCTTGACCTCGGTTTGTTCCTGGCTCTGTCTCCTCTCATATACGTCGAGTCCGGCCATTCTAAGGTCCGGTAGACGTATCTCTCCTCTGTATTTGCCTCTGTTTAGCTGGATCCTGCGTGTAGGGGTATATTCTCGTTACACTAAGGCCTTTGACACAGTAGACCACAACATTTTACTGCACAAACTCGAAAACTCAGGTATTGGTGATCATTCTTTAAACTGGTTTCGATCGTATGTATCGGATCGCTCGCAATATGTGTCCATTTCAGACAGTGACTCCCTCCCTCTCCCAGTCACGTGTGGTGTTCCCCAGGGTTCCATTCTCGGCCCCCTACTATTTACATTATTTATAAATGATCTGCCTAATGTCTGCCAATCCTCAAATGTACACATGTACGCAGATGACACGGTAATCTATGCGAGCAAATCCAATCTACCGCAACTTGAGGCTTTGCTCCAAGACCAGTTTACAGAGGTAGAAAAGTGGATCGCAAAAAACAAACTCTTCCTGAACACTGACAAAACTGTCACAATGATCTTTGGAACAGTACCTAAATTACACAAATTACACAATCCCCACCTATCCATCAAAACAAATTCAAATGGCACACTGACCGCAGTCCACTCTTTCAAATACTTGGGTATGATATTAGACCCCAATCTATCTTTTGGCCTGCACATAGAAAAGCTTGCATCTAAACTTTATCCAAGATTAGGTGCCCTGTACAGAAACAAAGCTTCCCTACAGTAAAGGAAAAGATTGTACAGCAAATGCTGATGCCAATCATTGATTATGGGGATGTAGTATATG